CATATATATATATATATATATACTTTTGTACTGAATGTGTTTTAATGTTTAATACGCATTATTGTATTTTTGAAGGATGCTTTTTGTTTGTTTATATTCATACTATGACTATCTCACACAGCCAATGGCTTCTCAATGGGCAGAGCGTCAAACATGAGTGGCGACTATGTGGGAGTCAACAAAGGTATGTCAGTGCACTCGCAATGTATTATTTTTGCTAAATGTTTTATATTTTTTAAGAGTTATCTCATATTTTTATTATTATTATATGTTTTGGGTTTTCCGAATTTAAATGCACCTGCTGCCTTTGCAAGTTGTGATAGACTTCGTCCTATATTGTTTATGTGATATGCGCGTTGCTCTGTCATAGATCATAACTTCTCCGACAGAACACTGAGCAGAAAGCAATTAAATGGTCACATCACCTGCATTTCAATGTATATGAGGGGCATGCCACCAACCACGGCCAGTTATGAATAGTTATAAATAGTTATAAGTAGTTATAAAAAGTGAATAGTAGTTATGAATAGTAATAAGTAGTTATGGTGAGTTATTAATAGTTATTAACAGTTGTAAGTAGTTATAAATAGTTATTAATAGTTATAAATAGATTAACAGTTATAAGTAGTTATAAATAGTTATTATTAGTTGTAAATATTGATAAGTAGTTATTAATAGTTATTGACAGTTATAAGTAGTTATATATAGTTATTGACAGGTATAAATAGTTATTGACAGTTATAGGTAGTTCTAAATAGTTATTGATAGTTATAAATAGCTATTAACTAAGTAGTTATAAGTAGTTATTTATAGTTATTAAGAGTTAGAAGTAGTTATATATAGTTATTATCATTTGTAAGTATTTATAATAGTTATTGATAGTTATAAACAGTTATCAACAATTATGAGTAGTTATAAGTAGTTATAAATAATTATTATTAGTTATTATTAGTTATTAACAGTTATGAATAGTTATAAATAGTTATTAATAGTTATCAATAGTTATTAACAGTTATAAGTAGTTATAAGCAGTAATCAACAGTTATAACTAGCTATAAATTCAGCCCGAAGTAGAAGCTCTCGCACTTTTGTGACTCGGTCGGACACTTCAACGTACATCAAGAAGGTCATCCACACCTTAGTGCACACCTTAGCAACGGTTGACGCAAAACCCTAAAACCCTGCACACCTTAGCAAGTTGAAGTATGGGTTTCTCTCTATTGTGCCTCGTCTGTGTATCTCCGTTTCAAATGCACACTGCAACTCAGAGACTTCAGTTATGTGCATGCGAACGGACAGCTCAAAGACTCGTAGTAGATCTGACCGTCCATCGCGTTATCCTATAAGCACATGCAGTGCGCGCGAGAGAAAGACCAACCTGCCGTGTAAACACTAAACCCTAAAGTCAGTGCTCAAGCACTTTCATCATGTGCAGGGGCACTGCTGGTGTGAGGTGGATATATAACCACATGTACGAGTCCGCATACCAGTGTTTGAATGAGAGTACGCCATCATTCATAGCAATATCTGATTAGTTTCGCTTGTCCACTAAAACCTTCAAACCCTAAAACCTTACCCATCCGTCCCCTTCCACAGCCGATGTGCTTGACCGAATGTCACAACCGCAGCAAGCGATTGACATGGACTCCAAACTGAAGGACTTGGCCGACAAAACAAAACAGATCATGAAAAACTTGGAGGGGCAAACTACGCCACAAACACCTTCAATTGATGAAAAGCTAGCAGCCATGACCACCCCCGATCGTATGTGGTGACACTTGTCTATCTAATGTAGAGGGTATGTGGTGATACTTGGATATCTAATGTAGGGGGTATGTGGTGTTACTAGTATATGGTGTAACTAGTCTATCTAATGTAGAGAGTACGTGTAATTACTAGTCTATCTAATGTAGAAGGTATGTGGTGTTACTAGTCTATCTAATGTAGAGAG